GCCCGGTGACGAAGGATTCGAAAGAAAACACGTTTCGCCTCCGAGAAGGGACGACGATCGCGAAGGCCATTATGTCTTCAATCTCGGCGAAAATCTCACTCCTAGATGTAATTTTATTCTTTTGTTTTGTTTCGTTGCTTTTCGAAAATTAAATTAAATTTAGGTTTAAGAGTTTTTTTTTATGTTGCATGCTGTCTAATGGAAAATCTTAAAATCTGTCATCAATCGAGAGTCATGCATGCAAGTCTTGTTGGTTGTTTATTTTATTTTTGTTTTTTAAGCGGTGATTATAATGTCATCTCATTTGTTAACAGATAAAATCCTCAGCAAGATGGGTGAAGGTTAGCGGTCAAGTGTCCTCTGAATACAAGATTTTAATTTTTTTGTGACTGTGCTTGTGTCATTCAGCATATTGCTAGTGCTGTAGGCACATTTGGTCGGGTTTTGGAATGTTGGGATCGCCAAACCAGAGAATATGTGGCCATCAAGGTAGTTAGAAGCATTCGGAAATATCGAGATGCAGCTATGCTTGAAGTTGACGTGCTTCAACATCTAGCGAAGAATGATAGTGGAAGCTCACGGTATGAATCTTATGGGGTAAAATGGATGCTGGAATTTGTTTATCCCTTGTTGTAACAATGGATGACTGATAATTTTTCATATTCTCTTGTTATTTGCAGATGTGTGCAGATCCGAAATTGGTTTGATTACCGAAATCACATATGCATTGTAAGTACACTTATTGTATTTCTTTCAACTATATGTTTTCCTTGATTTACTTACTGTATTCAGGAGGTTTATTTTGAGAAAAATGGTATTGTGTTGGACTGTTGGTGACACTTTATTACTTTTTGGAGGTAGGGGGCGAGGGGAGGGGTTAATTCTGCATTGTTATGAAAATGGATTAAATGCTTGGAATTTTGAATAAATTTTGGTTTATTTTTTTCTCCATTGCTATGTGCATGTATCTTTGTTCTGTTTCTTGCTCTTTAGGAAGGATAGGTAATTAATCCTCATTCATGTTGCAAATGAATGAGTTGTTGAGTTCAGCTATAGTGGATTTGTTTTGTTTGTTTGTTTTTTTTTTTTTTTTTTTTTTTATATATGTCCATGTGGGCTTTATTCATGGATTTGACAACTAAGCAAAAACATTCCTTTCAATGCATTTTAATGGTGTTATCAGGTCTTTGAGAAGCTTGGACCAAGCTTATTTGATTTTCTAAAGAGAAATAAATACTGCCCATTCCCTGTGGATCTTGTTCGGGAATTTGCACGACAGCTTTTGGAATCTGTAGCATGTCTGTGGATTATTTATGGCCTTCAGTTTATTTCTCATGTTTCATTCACAAGTCTCTTTCTTACAAATCAAACCATGGCTTTTCCCTTGGTCTGCTTTCTTTGTCCAGGGATGTAGTGTATCTTGGCTGTGTCTGCTTACTTGTTTCTTGTTCTTTATCATATTCAGATATGCATGAACTTCGCCTAATCCACACTGACCTGAAGCCAGAAAATATACTTCTTGTTTCTTCTGAATATGTAAAGCTCCCTAGCTATAAGGTATTTAGCATTTTTGGATGCAAACATAATCATGCTTGTAGACTCAGTTGTAATATATTTAAGGAAAATGATTGGATTGGTACAGAGGGTTTCCTCAGATGAAACGCAATTCAGGTGCTTGCCCAAGTCTAGTGCTATTAAGCTGATTGATTTTGGTAGTACTGCATATGATAATCAGAATCATAGCTCCATTGTTTCTACAAGGCATTACAGAGCCCCTGAGATTATTCTAGGTAACTAAGTATGGTTTTGGCTGCTGAGAATGTTTACTTGTTTTCTATTGCTCTGTCAAGTGTGTAACATGGAAAATATATGGTGCTTGGGAACAAAGAAGTATTTCAACCTGCTAAAAAATTATCAATAGCTTACAGCACATCTCTGGTCAAAATTTCCAGGACCACATGCTAGCTCGTAACTTTGTATTCTCCTGGGACTTTCGCTGCTCACTATATTGGCTGTTCTGAGTCCTCTGTACTGTTTTCATCATGTTGCATGGTTTATTATTTATTTTCTTGTCTTGCACTATTTTTGGGTACCCCTTTTGTCTCCCTTGTATCATTTTATACCTTCTATTTAAGGAGATTGCACGTTATGGTTTTTTTCTAATGTTGTGAGGCGTCATAAGATAATTAAAAGAGCCAAATCTAGTCATGTTGATGGAATGATGCCATTTGAGAGACTGTGGGTTATTTACTTGATTGAGCCAAATCTAAATGAAATTACTGTTGGGTCTGTAGCATATAGTTTGTACCTGTTGATGCATTCTCTCACCAGCCTCTTAAATGATAATCGCAGGTCTAGGGTGGTCATATCCATGTGATTTGTGGAGTGTTGGATGTATTCTCATTGAACTCTGCTCGGTTCGTCTTCTATCCAGCAAGATATATTAGGCGTGGCTTGAATCTGGAACAACTAATATTAGTGTTCTTAATGTGGAACTTTTGTCAGGGTGAAGCATTGTTTCAGACTCATGAAAACTTGGAACACCTGGCAATGATGGAGAGAGTTTTGGGACCTATTCCAGAGCACATGATTCGCAGGGCTAAGTAAGTAGTGATTTATATGCGTTCTTTAAATTTTTCCTCATCCAATTTGGTTTGAGATACATCCAGAGTGACAGTCTTCCAAGTTATGAATCAATGACTGGGAAAAGCCAAAAGCTGATTAATTGTAAATGAGTGTACTAAATTTACGTAGTAACATCTATTTTTTTCGTTTATTCTTCAATATGTAGCAAGGGCGCAGAAAAGTATTTCAAGCGTGGATCGCGACTAAAATGGCCTGAAGGAGCTGTTTCAAGGGAGAGCATTAATGCTGTGAAGAAGCTTGGTCATCTTAAGGTTTTCTGTTTTTTTCTTACTGCCTTATCAGTAATTGCTGGAATCTTCAATCAATTAGATATATATTTTTATTGTACTTGTAATGACCAATAATTATTATGAATGCAGGATATTGTAACATGTAATGTGGACTCTTCAAGGTCTTCCTTAACTGACTTGTTAAGTGGCTTGTTATCATATGATCCGACCAAACGTCTAACAGCTCGCGAAGCCCTCGATCATCCCTTTTTTAAGAATCCAACTTGAGATCGCCAGGAATGACTCCCATCTTAAAGATTGTCACTTGCATAGGGCTACAACTTTTAATGTATCTAATATTTTTTATTTATAGCAGTGTTTCAGTCTTTTTTTAAAATATATTTTGAATTTATCATTCTTTGTTTTCCTTTTGCTCATTTATCAAAAGTAGTATTTAACCTCTCTTATGTTTTAACTTTAAACCCTTTGTTCTACATTTGGATGGGCTGTGGGAGAACTCCAGAACACAGTTTAGGGGTGCACAAGAAGTACGTAAAAAGTAAAATAACAAATGAAAAGTAAAATGTAGCAAGGACAGGGAGGGAGAAACTAGAAGGGGAATAATTGTGTCCAAATAATTCGTGGAATATTTCTCGCTTGGATGGCAATTTGGCGCGAGTTGGTTTCTGAATAATATTTTAACTCAAAGTCTTCATTCTTCCCTTCGTCTTGTTCATCGACCATTTTGTTAACCCTAAATCCTAAGGCATGGCTAATGAACATAAAAATGAAGAAAGTTTTTACAAAACAGCATAAACTTATTTTAAGGTCTTTTCCGCTTCTATCGTATTTAACAATGAATATATTTTTAAGCTTAATTTTCATCTTAATTTGCTGCCAATTCCTTAAGACCATCCTTGGTTTAGCGATTAAGAGGTAGGGATTATATTTTTCTCTTTTATTTTAATTTAAGATTCTGTGGTTCTTTATTTTTCAAAATATTTTTTAGTCTTTTATCTTTTAAATTTAATATATATTTTTTTATTTTCTTACCAATTTAAGATTTAAAATTTATCTCATAAAATTTACTTATATATGAAGGGTATTAAATACAATTGAGATTCAAATCAAATATATTATAAAAATTATAAAAAAATTATATTATTTTTAAGTTTGTTAATAAGATATATTTTTTAAATAATTTTTATTATATTTATAATCTTTTTGAATTCAAATATCAATGATATTTTATAATTTTGAATTATATTATAAGTTTCATGTTTTAAATTAATAAAAAATTGATTTAAGATTATATTATAAAATTAAAAATAATTAATATTTTAAAATGATTAAATTAATTTAAAAATAAAAAATAAAAAATAAAAATAAATATTTTAATAAATAACACATCAAAGTAAATATAAAAAATAAAAAATAAGATGAATGTTCAAAAGTGTAATTTAGTCATTAAAAATATAAAAATGAAATAACAATTAACTCATTTTAAAGTGGTACCGTGTTTCTTATGATTAGGACTATACAATGTTCTCATTTCTTGTATAAAAGATTGAAGGTAGTACTAGAGAAAGAAATCATGTAGTTATATATTTATTTTATTGTGATTTTAATTGACTAATATTCTAAAATCGACAATGCATAAGATATTTTATTTTATATATAACTAAGATATAAATAAATATTTTTCAACAAATAATTATATTACAATTAAAATTCATAAAATGAATATTTGTCTTATAAATTATATTTTTAATATAGATAAGTAATTTATATTGTGATATAAGATTTTTTTAATTATTGATATTTTTTGAATATTAATAAAACTGATATTATATTTTTGAATATTTTTAATTATTTATAACATTTAATTTAGATAAAAGTGATAGATTTAAATAGACAAAAAGTTAATAAGAATTTCCAAAAACTCTTACTAAAAAATATAGCAACTACAAACGCTAGTGTAGAATTTTATTTTTCCATTTTTTCTCCATATATTATAATTTATATATAGAGATTATATTTTATCAATTAAATCCTTATTTCAAATTGTGTAGAATTATATATATATATATATAAATTTTTCCTATATAAAATGCTCGTGCTTACTGTTAGGGCAGGGAAAAAATGTGCAAGAACTTCGTTTGGATATAATTTATGCCAATAAGGCTAGTGCTATACGTTGACTCAAAAATCAAAATATGACTCTATGGCAGTAAGACACGCATGGCCATAAGTGAGGTTGAAGAATTTTCGGGTTCAGCTCACCAGTAATCTCCACACGAACACAATCCGTTCTCAAATCTGTGAAACCTATTTGCATCTCTCACCACAAATACAATCTTCAATACCTTTGACAAACCCTTGATGAATGTATGACAATCCCCACAAACCCTCAAGTTCTTGAAAATCCTAATCACCCTTTCTGCTTTAAGCCCACCTCTAACCAAAACCAACCCAATAGCCAATTTCTCGCTATGAATCCTCAAACTCTCAACCTTTGACTCCTCTTCAACATCATGCAATGCAAAATTTACACTATGAACGTAGCCCATTTCTTCCTTCACCCTCTTTTCCATTTCTTTCAACACTTGGAGAATTTCCCCTATTAGAGGATGCATGCCATCTCCATTGTAGAAAATGTGAATTTCCTTGGCTATCTCCACCCAACTACGTCCTGCCTCTTTCTTCAATCCCTTTCTCTTCGAAATTTCTCTCATTTTTTCACTCTCTTTCCAATACCCGGCGTCAGCATAAATGTTTGACATCAAGACATAGTTGGCTGGATTATTACCATCCAATCTCAAAAGTACCTCTCCCACTTGCTTCCCCAATTCCACATCTCCATGCATTCTACAAACACTAAGCAATGTCTGCCATATGCCCACATTTGGCTTTAGGGGCATTTTCTCAATGAGATCCTTTGCTTCCTTTAAGCGTCCAGCTCGTCCAAGAAGATCAACCATGCAAGCATAATGCTCAACTTGCGGTTTGATCAGCTTATTGCTACATAAACTAGAGAAGAATTTTTGACCTTTTTTTACGAGTCCAGAGTGGCTGCAAGCTGAGAGCACAGCCAAATAAGTTACACTATCAGGCTCAATTCCATTCACTTGCATTCCGTTGAAAAGCTCAACTGCCTTATTCCCCATACCATGTTTCCCATAACCAGTGATCATAACAGTCCATGAAACCACATTTCTTGCTGGCATCTCTCTGAAAAGTGCATCTGCCTCATCTGTTAGTCCACATTTCATGTACATATCCAAAACTGAATTAGCCACAGACATTTCCAATAAACCATACGGGACTTTGATGGTATAACCATGCATTTGCTTCCCTTGCTCCACAAGGGCCAAATCAGCAAAGACACCTATGAGACTCGAGAGTACAAACCCATCCATTCTTTGTCTGCTCTCTCTCAACTCCCTAAACAAATCCATGGCCTCTGCCAAATCATCTTCGTGTGCATAACCAAGAATTAGTGTGCTCCAAGACATCACACTTTTCTCTTCAATTCGATCGAACACCCTCCTAGCTTCAGCCACGCGCCTGCATTTGACATACAGATCAACCAAAGCACCTGCAACAGCTGGTTGAGCCAAGTAAGGAAATCCATGTCTGATCAATGCAGCATGAATTTGCATTCCTTCTCCTACCGCACTAGCACCACTACAAGCCTTTAACGAGCTTGAATATGTATACCCATCAGGAACGTCCCGATTCTGTTGCATTTCTCGAAATAGATTCAAAGCCATTTCACCATTTCCTTCATGGGTGTACACAGCAATCATTGCATTCCAGCTTATAACATTTCTCACTGGCAAAGTGTTGAACACTTTTGCTGCCTCACTAACCATACCACACTTGGAGTACATGTCAATCATGGAATTACCCACAACTGGTACCCTATCAAAACAAGATTTTGCACAAACCCCGTGAATCTGCATTCCGTTCTTAGGGATCCCCAAAACCCCAGATGCTTTTAGACTTGTGGAAAGCGTGAACTCGTTCGGCGTAACATTTGTACGACCCATTTTAACAAACAAAACCAAAGAGGTTTTGGCATCACCATTTTGCAGATACCCACACATTAGAGCCGTCCAAGACACTACATTTCTTTGAGGCATTCGATCAAACACCTTACAAGCGAAATCCACGGTACCACATTTTGCGTACATATCTATAAGATCATTGTTCAGAATCAAATCACGCCCAAGTCTTAGTTTCTCCACAACCCCATGTACCTGCTTTCCTTGATCAAGCAAACGACGGTTCGAACACTTGTTCAGAATCTTACTCAATAGTCGACCCTCATTCATGGATGGGTGGAAGAGAATTAGAAAACCGTTTCGTCACCTCCTTGAGAAACTGCGTGAAAATAACGGAACTGAAGAACATTCACGCCTACATCGTGAAGCTGTCACTGTCACAGAGCAACTTTGTGGCTACCAAAATGTTGGATCTCTGTGACAACTTGGGTCACGTTGTTTACGCCACCTTGCTGTTCCAACAACTACAAAACCCCAACGTGTTCTCTTACAATGCAATCATCAGAACTTACACCTATAATCAGAAACATTCCCTAGCAATTGGTATTTTCAACCAAATGCTCACATATGCAACAAAATCAACGTTACCAGACATGTTCACGTTCCCGTTTGGGATAAAATCGTGCGCGGGTCTTCTTTGCCTTCGTCTTGGGCAACAAGTTCACGCGCACTTGTGCAAATTTGGCACCAAGTCGCATGCAATAACGGATAACGCTCTGATTGATATGTACACAAAGTGTAGCGATATGAGTGGTGCGTACCAAGTGTTTGAGGAAATGACTGAGCTAGATGCGGTTTCTTGGAATAGTTTAATATCGGGGCACGCGAGATTAGGACAGATGAAGAGTGCGAGGGAAGAGTTTGATGAAATGCCTTGTAGGACAATTATGTCTTGAACGACTATGATTAATGGGTATGCTAGAGCAGGATGTTATGTTAATGCTTTGGAGATTTTCCGTGAGATGCAAGTGGTGGGTATTGAGCCTGACGAGATCAGTGTTATATCTGTTCTACCCGCGTGTGCGCAGCTTGGGGCTCTTGAGGTTGGGAAGTGGATTCACAAGTACTTGGAGAAAAGTGGGTTTTTGAAGAAGACTGGTGTGTGTAATGCACTGATTGATATGTATGCCAAGTGTGGTTGCATTGAAGAGGCTCGGCGCTTGTTTAATGAGTTGGTTGAAAAGGATGTGATTTCTTGGAGCACCATGATTGGGGGACTGACTAATCATGGAAAAGGGTATGCGGCAATTCGAGTTTTTGAAGATATGCAGAAAAGTGGGAATGGCTCCTAATGGGGTAACATTTATTGGTGTTTTATTAGCGTGTGCTCTGCTCATGCAGGGTTGTGGAATGAGGGGTTGAGATATTTTGGTATTATGAGGGTGGATTATCGTTTAGAGCCAGAGATTGAGCACTATGGTTGTCTAGTTGATCTTCTACGCCGCTCCAGACGGCTTGATCAGGCTCTTGACACAATATGGAAGATGCCGATGCAAACAGATTCGAGGATATGGAACTCTTTATTGAGCTCTTGCAGGATTCATCGCAATCTTGAGATTGCTGTTGTTGCAATGGAACATCTTTTAGAACTTGAGCCTGAAGAGTTTGGGAACTATGTCTTGCTTGCTAACATATATGCAGAACTTGGCAAGTGGGAGGGTGTATTGAATGTTAGGAAACTCATACGAAGCATCAGATAAGGAAAACCCCAGGATCTAGCTTGATTGAGGTCAACAATATAGTTCAAGAATTTGCATCAGGTGACGATTCAAAGCCCTTTTCACAAGATTTTTTTTTGGATCCTATAAGGGCTAACTTTACACCAAACTAGAACCAATGACATGATGGAATTTGTCGAAGAAATTGCGGGGCTAAGTTCATAGTAAAATTATTTAGTTTGAGGTTTGCCTTTTGGTCCTTCAGTTTAGTGAGTTTGCATTATTAAATCTAATTGCTTGAACTAGAGAATTTAACAAGACCTTCATTTCGCATAAAGGGATGACTCGTATTGGTGGCAAATGTGTCCATGATGGTTTAGCTTTTAATATCAAATTTCCTAGATAGAATAAATAGGCTCAGTTAAACTGAAACATGAAAATAACACATACATAGTAAATAAAAGATGCCAAAGGCCATGTGATCGTTGTGAAGCCAACTCTATACCATTAAAGAAGCCGGATAAATCCAAAAACTTAGAATGTAGCAAGCATTTTTTTTTCCTTTTGATTTGCTGCACACTAGATAAGGCAGCAGAAGACTAGGATGTTTGATCAGATGGTGCAATGCGTCTGAATACAGCCTGGAAAGTTTGTCCCCCATTTCTAGCAACCTTTTGGCCTTCTTCAGTCGCAGAACATAAAAGCTTCACAACTGGATCTGCTTCAAGTTCTTTCTCAGTCAGGGCTTCGAACATAGGGTGATTCTCCAGACAAGACTTCATCCAGTCTCCAAGCTCTTCTACATCGGTAATCGTGTATATAATTCCACCAACCTCGAGAACATAAGCATACTCATCTAGCAAGAATGGACTGATAACCCTACGGCGATGATTCTTCTCTTTAAAATGAGGATCAGGAAACAAGAAAAACATCTTTGAGAGCTGTCCTTTCTCAAAGTAATTGGGAATATATTTCATGGAGTTAGTTCGCACCACAGAAACATTTTGGTATTTACCTGGATTTGCTACCCTTAAAGATAAAATTCGTTCCTTGACGTACTCAGTCACTTTGTCTCTAAGTTCCATTCCAATCATCAATGTTTCTGGGAACAAAGTGGAAAGACTTATGAGCAGCCCTCCAAAACCACAACCAACATCAGCAAACTGGATCTTTTTGGAACTATCAGCTTGACCAGACGAGGGAAATAACTGAGGGTAATGGAGGGAATAGTCAACATGGCTGGGTGATATTGGCACAGGGAAGTGAGAGTCACTCAGTGGATTGCTGTGTGCTCGTGCTCTATAGAAGCGCTTCCGAGGCAATCCAGTTGACTTGCTGATAGTTGGATTTACCTCAGTCTCAGACATGTCTATTTATTCAAGCTGCAGTATAGTAAAAGCCAGAATCTTCAGAACAAAGATATACTCGTGATCGATAGAGAAACATGTATATTTCTTCTTATAACACTCAGCACAAATATAGGGCTAAATATCAAGGTTCCATCACTTATCATGCGTTGATTTTTAATCCGGCATCTTGCAGATCAACAGTAAAATGCTGAATCAGACAATAATACCAAGATTGAAGATTGATGGATAGACGTTCAACGGAGTTTGAACATGTATACAAATAGACCCTATGAAACTAGTTTCATGCAAGCTTTTAAACTGAGAAACCTGTACACATTAAAGTATGACACAAGTTATATTGTCAATTTTCATTGTCTTCATATTCAATTTGACATTATTAGTTAACTTAAGTATTTCTATTGTGATGAATTAGTTGTAGTTATTTGTTTCGTATACAAGGAGATCGGAGAGAGTACTAAATTCAGTACCGAAATAACAGAACATATATATTTTTTTCTCCGAAATGTTGAGAACTAAAATGACACTAATTTGAGGAATCAACAATTGAATCTGGCAAGTTTGTGGTGTAGGAATTATGGCGAGCACCACGAGTGCATACCAATTAACATATCATTTACAGATAACGAATTATCACACACGTGATTCGAAAAACAAACGCCAACTTTACTACGTATTAAACTTCAAAGAATAAGAACCGTGACCGATTGACTACGGAGAACAGTCGATTACAATCACAGAAACATTTAAATCATATTAAAAAAAAGTTAAAAAAAAAAAAGAAGGTAGTTAGGTTACCTAACAGAGAGATTTCGGAAAAACAGTATTCAATTCTTTGAAAGTGAATCCGAACGCTATGAGTGTGGTGGAGCCTCTGCAGGTAGCGGTTTTAGCAGCAACGAAATGAAGGTGAAACTGAAACGGAAGAAGGGCTTTGAATTGAAGGAGGGAAACAATGTGTGGGCTCGCTACACCAGACCTACACTTCAACCAGGCCCAAAATGTTCGTATCCCTGTTTGAGCCTGCCAACAATAAGCCCAAAAATAAAATAAAAACTGCCCAAACAAAACACAATGAGAAAATGTTTAATTATTATAAAAGATCCCATAGAAGCGGTCCAAACACAACCTTTATTATTTTATATTATATAAATTGACATATTCCATATCTCTATATTTTATTTAATAAAAATGTTTAAAAATTATTAATGTTTGATAGATTAATTTATTTATATTTAGTCTTTAAATTTAAAATTTTTAAGTTTAAGTCTTATCATTATGATAAGACTAGTTAATTTTAAAAATTATTTTTTATTATTTAAAAATTTTAAAGATAATCATCTTAAAAAAAACATATATATGTCCTAAATGAGGCAATCCGTTTATTATATGAATTTTTAAACAAAACATGTTTAAAAGAGGGTAACAAAAATCACAAATTACGAAAGACTTTGATAGGTTAAGTTCACACCTCATTTATTTATTTATATACAAATACCATGAATGAAAGCATGTATCTATTTTAAATGAAATATAATGAAAATTTATTTATGATATATCACAATCGATAGAAGGGGTGTGACTTCGCAATACATAAAGAAAATATTTCTTTATTACATAAATACATAACATAAACATTTTTTTTTTCATTTTTAGATGTACAACAAAAAAAAACATACAATATTTACTTTATTTTTTATTGACAAATGAAATAACTTTGTCAACCATCCCTATCTGTGTTTTTTTAATTAACTAGCTGATTATTTTTAAATACAATATTAATTAATTAATTTAGTTAACTATCTGTATTTTTTTAATAATTTTTAGGACAACTAAAATTTGTAATAAATAATTTTCAATGTATAATTAATTAATGTAGTTAATTTTGACGCTTAATTTTTTTTCATAAAAAAAATAAGTCAGCACAAGTGAACATACTCATATGAGATAAATCAACATATTTTCAATTAATATAAAATATTAAATTGTGAATGAAATATTACAAAATAAGTGCACATACTCCTATGAAATAAATCAACATATTAACATGAAAAATATAAAATACTGGTATAAAGTAAACATGAAATAAAAAAAAAATATTTTTAAATATAATATTTTAATTATGATATGAATTATACATCGAAAATTACTTATTACATATTTGTTCCATCAGAGTTGAAAATTTTATTAATTAGGTAGCTCATGTTCAGATTCATATTACTTCCCAGTGCTGCATGCTGGACTTAATTTGTTTACGAGTATAATGGTCATCATTATATTTCTTATCCAAATATAGCAACATTTTATGCAAGACTCTCTTATAAATTTTTTTATAATAAACTAACTAATAATGTATATAAAAAAAATGTTATGTTGTGGATCTACTTCTAATTATTATATTGTTGTCATTCGTCAACATTGATTAATCATGACAGAAGCAGAGATGTTAAATTGATATGAATCACTCTTTCAAGATTCTAGAAGTATTGAAACACAAAAACGATACATATAACGGATAAAGTGGGGGTAGCCTACTTGTGCTTCACTTAAGCTTACATACACACATCACTATTTTGACAAATACACTATAAAATATGTGCTTTAGCTAAATAAGCTTCAAATATACTCTACTTTATGATACCAATTATGGTTTTTATCAAACAATTTTCATATCTAACACTATCCCTTGTCTTACACTTTTGTTCAATTGTTCTACACATGTCGATATTTCAAGAGTTTACCAAAAAGTTTTACTATATATATATATATATTGTTTAATTTAGACTTATATATCATTTTTTTTCTTCTTAAAAACATTACTTAACATTCCTTTTTAAGCGGGGTGTATTGCAAAAACAATATAATTTTTTTTTATTCTTTGATTTAAATTTATCTATGTTACATTTTGTAAGTTAATTTATTTAAGTAGAAAAACATGATTTATGACCTCCATATATGTTACTCCATTTGTTTAACACTACAAAAATATTCTTAAACAGTCGCTTAAATATATTTTAATTAAAATATATAAAATTTAAAATTTCAATAATTGATTTTATTTTTCATAATATTCAATTACAAATTTACACATTTAATATACATATATATTATTATTAAGCTTATTAAATTCAATAATTATATTATATTATATTTGATAAATGTAATAACTAATACTATATAAGAAAAAATATCAAATCATTTTTATATTCGTATAAATACTATATTAATAACATTAATTTAATACTAACTTAATATTTGTGTATACTTATGTTTTGCAATTATATGCATATATATTATTTTATTTTTAATTTAACCACTTTCAATTATATTTTATGAAAATAATAAATAAAGACATATATAAAGGGATAAAACTTTATATATTTATCATTGTATATATAATTGGAATATTCATTTGGATATATAAATAATATGTATATTTTTTTTGTTCTATTAGTTTCCTTAAAATATATTCAATTGAATATATTCATTATATTTATTTAACAATAAGTTTTATGAAATAATATTTTTTTTAAAAATAGTTTTTTAATATACAATAACACATAATTAGATGTACTATATTTATATTTACTATCTTTCAAAAAAAAAAAAATTTATATCTACTAATGCTAAACAGTTTGCATTTTAATAAATAAAAAAAAGATGGTGTAATATTTATATCTTAAAAGAATTAATAGTAAATAAGAACATTTTTTTGTAGAAAGTTAACATCATATTTACATCATTCATCGTAATGAAACTTGAATTCACTCTTAAGATAAATACTAAGTGACAGCATGAATTTAATTATAATTCATTATATAGTTAAATCCCCACGTCACCGACAAATGGAAACCAATTACTGTTACCCACGAATTGCAATCATTTTTCTGAACTTAATCTGAAGCTTCAATGAAAAGATTAGATGATGTTTTGAGAACAGGTAAACATGATGGAGACAGTTAAATTAAATTATTTGAAGTGAATGATAAGTAAGCAATAGCAGCTGGTTGTGAATTGTGACATATGGATATTGGAACATTTGTAAGATCCCTGAAACACACAGTTATTGCTTCATAATTCATTGCTAAAGCCGTGAATCTTTCCAATATCCAGTAGTAGGGGTTGATCCACACTTAAGCAAGGTCAATTTTGGGGTCAGCTATCCCACCCTTTGAGGTGCCTACAACGTAGCGAGGAGATTAGTCACTACTATCGACAGTGAATACTCCAGGGACGAATAAAAAAATAATAATTATGTTTTGACTGTATAAAATAATAATATTTAAGATTAAACTAATTGAATGACACTTATATTTAATATTTATTTAAAAAATTATACAATATAATATTAATATGAGAAAAACTTAAACACAAACATTTTATTAATCTGAAAAAATAACACTTAAAAAAGTTTACATTTATCCTAAAAAAAATTGTTATTATCTAATTTAATCAACATATTTTCACACATGTTTATTATTTGGGAATGAGAGTATTTTTTTTAAAATGTTCTTATTATTATAAAATCAATCTTAAAAAAAATAATTATTGTACTGACCGTACTTCGCACCCGGGCTCCGAGTCCGGATTAGCGATACAAAGCCACCCCAAGCACACGCTGAGCGACGTCAGCCCGGTATTTGGGGCCCGGTATTTGGGCAGATCATTCCTGTTGGATCCACTCGACATTATGGGACTCGAAACGTTGGATTGATAGCGTTGCCCGAAAAATAAAGGTCAAGTTAACACATGCGGAGAACCTGACAAACCCCACGTGGGTGTGCTCGAGATAAAGTCGAACAAGAAAGAAGGATTACTCGAGAATAATTGAAGTGTTGAGACTCTCCCAGAACCAGTAGGTAATTAAGCCAGAGCGGTTACCAAAAATTCAATCGAAGAAACAAAAGACACGTGGGAAGAGCGGTTAAAGGAAAGT